AAAAAGGGGTTTCGTTGTACGTAGTAGTTCGGGTATCGATGGATGTTTAGTAACGGTTTTTGTTGGATTCGACGGTTATTTTGATTTGGAGTGCTCAGTTAGAGGTGCGTTTAGTGGATGAATAGTTGGTTACTTGCTGAAAAATAAATGATATACAAAAATTCAGTGGAAAAAAATTAATTTTGCGGCAACAAAAATTTTATAAAAAGCATACATTTTTTTTTTAGAAAATGTGTATATTTTGAGTAAAATATTTAACGTACGAAACAAAAAATCGCGAAAAGTTTGCGAATTATGCGTAAAATTATGTAAATGGAAATATACAAAGTCCACCGCAAATATCGGAAAACCATAAAATCAAGAAATTCGCAAAAATCATGAAAATTAAATCGTAAACGAAAAATCAGCCAAGAAAAGCAAAACAATTTTTGTAGTAGGCGCTTTTGCATTTCTAGCGCTCGCACAGCAAAAAGCAAAGCGCAAAAATGCCAGAGATCACAACAACAATAAAAATTTAACAGCAGCATTCGTTTTGTAGCATTGTGGTCAATACTCAATTTCACATTGTTTGTATCTACTCGAATTTTCCTTTCTTTATTTTATTCGTTTTGTTTTGTTGCATTTCCCCGCTCATACGCAATCGGTTAGTGACAGTGAAGAGTTTGGAAATTATATGCGAGAAATTACGCAGAAAGTGGCCGTGTGGTTTGCGAAAAACAAAAACAAAAAAAGAACTGGCGAACATTCGCATTCAAAATATATTCCAAAAGCCATATGTGCTTATTTACATATATATGTACATACATATGCATGTGAATGTGCATGTGCGTAGACTCTACTCGCTTAGTTTGTATGTAAATTTGTGTCAGCAACATTTGAGTAATACCAGCAACATATCGCATTTGTGCTCATTTGATTCTGGTGACAAATTGGGAATGAGTAAATTACCAAATGTTTGTGGCAACAGCTGAGATTGGCATGCAATTTGTTTATGTAGATACATACATATGTATTTACGTACATACGCACACATGTATTTTAGTTCGTATGTGCTTAACCACATACAATATGTATATTTTAGTTTCTGTTGCTAAGTGCCTGCAACTGTGGGGACTCTTGCTCAGTTAAGTGACAACAAAATCGAATAATTCTAACGTGTGTTGTGGTGAAATAAATATACATAATATATTCGTTCTATGTACCTACTCGTAAAAAAGTGCATTAAGTGAAAATTTATGTTCAAATAGGGGAACAAATCATAACTAAGTTGAATCGAAACAAAAAAAAAATAAAGTTTATAAAAAAAATTATAAAAAAGATTATAGAAAAACAGCGTAGGAATAACAAATTGCAATGCAAAACAAAACATGTCAAAAAAAATGAATACGAAAAATTTGTATCTAATAAAATATTTTCCATTTTGAAAATGATGAAATAAATACAAATTCTAATATATGTACATTAGGGTACATCACTCTCCATGCCAAACAAAATTGTATCCTGTTTCTATCATAATTATACTATATACATTATATGAACTATATTTTTATAAAAAATTATCGGAAAGAAATTAGAAAAAAAAAAATTTGCTTATATTGCGAAACATTCACTGTACTAAAACTTTTGTCCGGCACTGTATGTATTAAACTCAATTCATAATTTTTCAAATATTTAAAGGTTTGGAGGACTAAAATTTAATATTAAATTAAGAACTGAGTAAATTTCTTCACCAAAATTTGTTTAGTTTTTTGTTCGATATTTGAAATTTGCATATGATGATTTTTTCCAAAATCTATCTTACCATTGTTGCAGTAAAAGGACTTTGCGTATTTTTTTTAGAGGTATAGAACTTTACACTGAAATAAAATAAAGAGATTACATAATTTTCGCGGAAAAAAAGATTTTATTAGAAACAATACCTCAAGCCATTAAAGTTTGTTCCAGTTCATTCGCACAAACCAATGACTTCGCGTAACCCCAAAGAAAGTAGTATAGAGGCGTTAAATCGGATAATCTTTGTGAGCCACACCAAACAGTGAGTTTTTGTGAATGTATCGATGCCTCGTGATCTCTCGTGGATTCTCTTTACTCCAAAAGCATATAGTTTGCTTTTGGATATATCCGTGGAACCAAAAATGAGCGCCATCACACAGACTATTGCGAAAATCATTTATTTATATGAGAAGCAAAAATCAATCAATGCCATTACTCCATGGCCGTTTGACCATGATTCGGGTAGCTTCATTTTGAGGGAACTATATTTATTACAAAAAAGCTGAATAACATACCTTTCAAATTAATGTAACTTTTTTCCAAGCTAAGAGCTTTGAAGAGAGCGAAATATTGCATTTAAGTGCAGGGGATTGAGGGGGCTTGGGGGTTTTGGAAAAAAATATAACATATCAAAGAGTATAAATAGCATATATTTTATCAGATACATTAGTCAAATTATAATGTAGTCGGAGATAGCAAGTTTACGATATGTCTGCCGGCAAAATGACAAATCTAAAACGGAAGACCTCTCATGTCATGTCATGCCAAATAGTCTGCGGCTCAGGATGGGTATATCAAAATATTGCATGTTTTCACAAATAATTGCTGTCAAAGATCTGCACCACTCTAGATTGCGTTTTAAGATAGAAAGAGTTTATAAAAAAAAAAATAAAAAAAAAATCAGCCTTATCCTGAGTTTCGACCGAAAAAAATTCATGGAAATACATGGAAACCAAAAGTGCAAAGTGAACCGGTTCGGAGAAAATGAAACTCATCATAAGGCTGAATATTTTTTTTCTTTGAATTCATTTGTAACTGTTTTCAAATTGTTCATAACAAATCTTACGTATAGTGCAAAATTCCAAGCAAAAATTTCACTCGTAACCAAGAAAAGCAAAAAAAAGAAAACACAAAGTGGAAGCAATGAAAAAATGTTTGGCCTGAAAATGTGTGATACAACAAAAACAACAACATCATTAGCATGCTACCGAAATAGCAATAGTGAAAACAATCAACAAAACAACAACTACAGCAGCAGCAGCAGCAGCAGCACAATTTGCATAAAGTACAGTGTATTGAAGCGTGCGCCAGTGCAGTTGCATAAGACGAACATCAACAACAACAACAACAACAACAACAAAAGCAAGCTAGTTACTAAAATCAACAGAAAAAGTTACAGCAGATACAACAAAGTCAACAAAAGCAGCAATTATAATAAAAATTGCAAATATCAGTACAATATTGTTGCTAAAATAGCTAACAATAATAATAATAATAAAATAAACTACTGGCGCATAAATTGCGGCAGTAAGGTAAACAGCAGCAGCAGCAGCAACAGCAGCAACAGCAGCAATTGTTTGCTTTATTGCTGGCCTTCATAAGCGGCAATTTAGCATGTGTACAACCATTTGCGGGTATATATAGTATTTGCAAGCAGCAACAACAACATGCGAAAAGGCTAATGCAATAAGACAGCAACAATGAAAAATTATAAATACATTTTGGTATAATGAATTGAGCGCAACGTAGTGATTTGGAGCAAAAAGCAGCGGTGCAAAAAAATAAAAACTTTTTCAAAGCAAATTTTGTTTTTAAATAAAAATAAAAAACAAAAATAAAAAAATAGCAGCAACCAAAAAAAAAATTACAAAAATTAGAAATTTTGTTTTTTTAATTATTAGAAAACAAAAACAAAGTTGGTGATATACAAATTAGTGAAATTTACGTTTAGTACATAGCAAAATATTATGTAACCAAAAAGCATAGATAAAAGAAAAGCAAGATAAAAGAAATTCAACAACAGCCAATGGAGCATAAGGAACTGTAGTTATACAACAAAAAAAAAAAAAAATCAGTATTCAAAAACGTCCACCCGCAATACAGAAGCAAACTGTTTGGTTGTATGCGTTTATGCATTTGTTTGTTTATATAGTTTAATCGCGCTTGTGTCTACCTATACATCTATACCTATATACATACAAATACATATTTTTTTATGTGCTTCCTCTTAACGCCAATCGCATTCACAATGCCGGAGATCAAACGTAATTTGAGTCGTCTCTCCATGCTGATGTTTCGGCCAACGCATTCCAGTGAGCCTGGCTGGCGTGCGGAGCTTCTAAGGTACGAGTTCATGACACTTATATTCATACATAATACTTATTTATTTACTTGAAATGATTTTTCAATGAAATAATTTTTCTACATACGTAACAGAAGCACACACTTGCAGTTACTTCATAAAATATAATATAAATTTGTATCTAAATATGTGGGATATGTGCACTTGTGCATTGCTGATGTGGTCATGTGTAAGCCATTTGGCTGGCCATATGGTTCGCACTTAACGATAAGAGATGGGTTTATACACTTACGCTTGAATGTACAAAGGACTTACACAATGTGCCTAAATATATTGTCTTATATCAATTGGCTTATTTCATTTGCCTTGCAGCAAACACGCATGTACCTAGTGTGGACTCAAACAAAAAAAAAAAAAAACGTTGGATATTTTTTTTTTGTTGGCAACCCTATGCACCATATTAGCGGATGAATGCATTATTTAGTAATTTTTGGGTAGAATTTTTTTAAATTTTTATCCTTAATTAACCTCATTCTGTTGTATTTAGTTGATGAAATTAAATTTTCTACGCATGGCAACCCCATAAAAATTTTATTAATGAAAAGTCTTAAATTTTCTATGAACAACAGGGACTGTAACGGTTAGGATCTTAATACTACAAATAAAAATTTTACCGTTAAACTAGATTTTCATTATCCGTCCAATTTAACCTTTATTTTATGATTTTTATTATTTCGAAAAAGAATAACCCTTATTTTCGGAATTTAATTTTTTCGACCATTGTTCGGTCGTTGTTTTTGATTTTTATTTTTTCGATCATATTATAATTTTTTTTTTAAGATAAAATTTTTTATATCATAAAAGATTTAAATCGGTCATAAAAATTCAGCCTCCTTTATAACGGTTAAAAATTTTCGAAAAATAAGAATCTAGAATAACGATTATTTTTAATAGAAAAAAAGAAAAAGCACAAAATATCGATTAAATTTTACCAACAAAAAAAAAAAAACGATTTTGCAATGTTTTAAAAATAAAAATCTTTATACACTTAGGTCTCTTTTTATGCGTTTTTTTTAATGCGTATTTTAATTTATGCTATTTTTCAAACCATTTCTTCGCTGTAGCGAATTTGCTTTTTTGAGAGTTGTTATTATTTTTTTCAATGTGTAAGAGACAATGTTTCTGATGATTAATTTGGCTTTGTATTCTTACATGTTTCATGTATTTATTGTGGTATGGTTTGTTGGTTAAAATGCAGATAAAATTATATTTATTTCATGAATGTTCAATTTTACATTGAATAATAAGTATTGAAGTGAAAAAATAAATTGTTTTGTTTTGCCTAATATTGCCTCACTGGATTTTTTGTGAGGTTTTTTAGAATTTCTTACATGGAGTATCTGAATTTATGCGGTTTTTGAAAATGCTGGAAAGCATTCCCTGTTTTTTGGTATGAAAATGAAGAACTTTTTTATGCGGATTTTTATTATGCGGCTTTATAAGGAACGCATGTACCGCATAAAAAAGACCTAAAAGTATTCAACTATTGCTCTCGGTCCTTGCTTAGTATAAGGATTATTAATACTTTATGCCGGTCTTCGATATTTCGCTTTCAGTCAAGTTTATAATCTAAGATAATAATTATAAGGGAATTACTAACATATTCCGGGTAGACATTATTGGGGCTCCCTCAATATCGAAGTATACTCCCTGCGTATATTCCTTTATGGACAATCCTTTTTCAATCCTCGATGCGATTTCATAAAGTGCGGTATCCAAGAATTTTCTCTTAAAATATGTCTGTTGATTCGAGGAGAGACTGCCTTTTTTGTTATATTTCGCAGAATATATTTATCTCTAAGTCTCTCCAGAGATTTGAAAAGAAATGGAGTCAGGTTCATTGGCCTGAAGCCTTTCAGTTTCACATGGCTCTATAGTACCATAATTAAACTAACTTTATTGTATGCCTTCGAAAGAACAGCCTTAACTGGAATCAGCGGATCAATTCGGGCCACCGTTAGTCTTGCGCTTAACGTGTCTGGAGGCCTGGCCCTATGCGTTTATTCACGGACAGATCTAAGCTGGATAGAAAAGCAGGTGGACTTTTCCATCTTAAATTTAAGGTCCTGGATCACTGCACCATATCCTTAGGAGAGAATATGATACTTTTTTTTTAACTTTCTAGGAGATAAGTATTGGAACGACAGGCAGCAATCACGGACCTTGGCTCTTTGATGATGGATTCGAAATCGACCAGGGAATGCCGATCTCCTCAGATCACTTCATTTTCAAGCTGTGAATACTGACCGAAACCTTGAAGGGTGGCTTATTCTTTCAGGTCTACCTACAGCTCTCTGGTGGTGGCAGCTCTAACCAGGTATTCTTCTAAATACCTTTTGAGAGCTTAACGTTTTAACGACTAGGATTCCTTTTATTTCTCACCCTGAGGAGCTTACGAGACTATATTGGCACATCCTAAAATTAACCAAAATCGATTTTTCTTCGTAACTTGTTTTGTTTATGGTCTGATTTCTTAATAATAAAGGAAATATTCACCACCTTTTCCTGGTACAATTTCAATATTTATAAATTTCGTGAATTTTTTTTTAAGTATTTAGATGCCTATTTAATACTTCCTTATTATCGCTGATAATGACAATATTCCGTGAAAGTAGGTACACCATATTTATTAATGTTAAGATCAAGCAAGAAAGTAGAACAACACGAACGTGCATATGTATGTATAAAATATTTTCAGGCGTATAACGAAGCAACAATAATATCAATATTTGCTTAGCATTCGCATTAAAAAATAGTATGAACGTATTTTTCGCTCTCTCTTAAAACAGCTGGGTAAAGTTAAGCGCCATTAGCCTTGTAATAGACATTGAATTGTTGAATATGAAAAGACAGAATGCAAAAAAAAAACACTTTTGCAGACGGAAGGACATAATTATTTAATTTTTAATTGAGATAATCTAAAATCGAAAGATTCTTCATATAATTTGAAAACGAAAATATTTTATATTTGATCAATTTAAAATTGTATGCTTAACGCTTTGGTAGAATGCTTGAGGAGTGTCTAATTAATAGACTATATTTTAGTTTTTGGTAATTTTTTATTTTTTATTTTTAATAATAGCTCTGATCCAGTACTAGATGAATTTACAGGTTTTTACACGAACTTGCAGGAAATTAAATGAAAATTTTTCCCGTACTCCATAATTCTGTAAATGGGAGCTATTTTTGGAGAGTTTTGTAGAGAATGAAGTTGCAAGATTTTATCCGTACTATTTTGTTATGGTAAAATCATGAACAGTGTCAAGCGATAAGCTGTTTGACGTTTTTACACGAAGATGCTTTTTTGTTTCCGTGCGGATTTCTACCCTAAAAGCCGATTCATCGTTTTAGTTCAGAACTTTTTTTTCATGTAGTTGTTGTTGTGTTTCTCTATCTATGACAAAAAGTTCAGAACTAAATAGAATGATGAATCCGCCTTAAGCCAAGATGTTCTGTGTTAAGTCAAAATTCTTAGTACGGCTGCGGTCTACTCGTAAACTACCAACAGTAGGTAATAATACTTTTGAAAAAATTTCAGGTAGGTAGCCCATTGAATTTTAAAGCGTCTCAAAAATACCGTTACTTTTTGAAATGTTTTTTTTTTTCGGTTGACGGCGCTTCCATCTAAAAAATTTGGCGTCAAAAAAAAAAAAACAAAAGCAAAAATAGCAAAAATCGAGGGTATTTTTCTTACAATTTTTTGAAAATTTTAAAATCGGATTTACATGGTTTTCCTTGTAGAATATGCTATATTTTTATAAGAAATTAATAAATATTAAATAAACAAAATGAAAACTCTCAACAGCGTGTTTCAAAAAGGTGCTCCTATTCAGGTGGCAGGGAGTGTATATATTTATATATATATATGTAGACGTTCACACATATTTACATAAATACGATTACGTAGGTATGCATGTCTCGTTTTACTTTTAAAAATGTATGCCACATAAACATAACTCAGCTTGACAACAGCCGCTGTAAAACGTTCTGATATGTAGTGTTGTCATATTTAATTACACATGTCGTTAATAGCCGCTAATTGCACTATAGTGCATGGCTTTTGTAATGCGGATTTAATTTTTTTAATGGCGTTTTTTAACAAAAGTAACTAATTATGTGATTAATGTATATTTGCACATATATACTTTTGCATTGGTGTAGTTGGTTTAGTAATATTCTATTATTGCTTTTAAATGACAATCATATATTTTTTTTATTATGCCTACTTATTGATATTTACTCACAATCAGAGTAGTCAATATGAATTGCACACGCAAACATAATTAAATGTCAATTACCTTCTTGTTGATAAACAAATTCAAATTTATTTATGATTAGTGCTGAAAACAATAATGATGGATAACGATTTAATGAAGTAAAGCACATTTTGTGTTAAAGAGAAACACAAATCTATAGACAATTTGCAG